TTAAATTGAATTTCTGGAAGTAAATACTTTAAATGCATTATTTCACTCCAACCAGATTTAACTTTGTTTAATGCCATGTACTAAAGTACATGTAACATGATGATAGCAGGAAGGACACAAACGTTTTCAGGAAATCTTAGGGTTTGATTTGCAACAATCCTGATCCAAGTTACGTTCTCTAATTTCACTGCCAGAGGACATAACAAAAAACATTAAAATTTTTTCATATTGTTATGGAGAGCTAATGTAAATAACAAGCTTCTGGAGTTTTCCAGTCACGCGATGTTTGTACTTGAACTTTCTATTGTCACGCAGTAGAACTGTCTAGAACATTCTGCTGGATGATGTAACTCATGATGTAATGTTACAAGAATAGTAGTCTTTTAAGCTCTTAGAACTATCTAGAACATGAAATGACTGTATATAAGGGCTTAGCGTGCTTTGAGTTAGTTGTTGTTACGGCAGAGATTGATAGGAGAAGCTATGCTGGGAGAGCTATAGCAGTTTGCTGAAGAGTACTTTCAAGTTAAGTCATCTCAAGTGGCTCCAGGACGTTTGGTGATAGCAGTGTCTACTGTGAGTTTGTGTCAGTGGCGACCGAAGGTTAATAATAGGCTCTAAGTAGTTTATACTACGGTTGTATTGTGTGAGAATCGCTCCCCAGTTGTAGTTATCACTTGAAGTATAGTTACTTAAATTAGTTGATTTTAAAGAGTGTTTTTTGGTATTTTTCTGTCGGTTGAATTATACCATAACAATATGGCTCTTTTTCAAAATCACGTAGTCTTTTGCTCTACCACGGGCCAGTTGTAACACGGGCCCATATTGGAAGGACAACTATTATTTTTGTTCAATATGGCGGAACCTTCAGATGCAAGGACGAACATTTTGGCTTCTGTTTGGCTGACAAAAGATGACATTCCTGGGGCAAAACTTCAAAAGACATCTTCCGAAGAATGCAACTGTTGGATGTTGAGACGCTGGCCGCAGTGTGGAGGAGGGGGGGTTAAAATCTCTCTTTTCAGCATGGGAGGAAATACGGTCCCCTAGCTCTGTACTAAGTGTGATTAAAGAGGGCTATTAATTATTACTGCTTACTTGTCACCAAGGCTCTAGAGGATCCCATAGCTGTCAATTGTATTTCAATCGTCCACAGTCTACCATGGGTAGTGAACCCTTTAACTGTGTCCATCTGGGCCGAGGGGAAGAAACATCTTGTGCTCGACTAAAGACACGTAAATCCTCATCTTTTCAAGTACAAATCCCAATGCAAAGACATCAGTACTGCTCCACAACTGTTAGGGGAAGGATATTACCAGTCTACATTCGAAATCAAAAGTGCTTATCATCATGTTGAAATTTTGACAGCCATAGGATCTACCTTGGGTTTCAATGGCCATTTCAGGACAAACCAAGCTATTTTGTTTTTAACGTACTACCGTTCCTCATGTCTATTGCACCTTACATATTCACCAAAGTGTTGAAACCCGTGATTAATTACTGGAAAAGTGCAGGCAGGAGAATTTTATGCTTTGTTTTGTTCGTCATAGACACGGTTTTCGACGCTATCTTGACGAGTAGGCAAACGCGCAATAAATTACAGTGTTTGTATGAGAATCTAACATGGAATTATTTCCGTAGAATGGCTGTTCTGAAAAAATATGAATTGTAAACTAAAGCTTCACTCCTAGGGATTCTACTTTAAAAACATTGAGGGCGTTACATGCGCTAGAAGACCTAGAACCACTTTTTCAAATTTGCCATACATTTGTCTGTTAGAAAGTGGCGGGAAAAATAACACGGCAGAAATATATGGAAAACCTAAAGGAAGCCTCTGGAGAAATTTAAGCACAGGTACGCACAAAATTTTTTTAGGACAATCCTTTGCTTTGTAGCTTTAGTTTACAATTGATATTTTTTCAGAACAGCCCATTTACGGAAATTTCTCATACAAACACTGTAATTTCTCACACGTTTGCCTAAGACCTGTTGTGGGTGTTTGCTGTTGTTTACGACAAAATTATTTATTCTTTTGTTACTGTTCTGAGGTCAAAGTTACCTTTACATATCAAAAAATGTAAAAATCGCGAAATTTAATACACTCCAATTCCACCTTTCCCAAAAACTCGCAAAATATTAAATACTCGCGAAATATAGCTCGTGATTTTTTGCAAAATTTAATACTCGCGAAATTAAGTGAGAATAAAGTAGGTCCCCCGTTTTTAGTCATCCAATTTTCAGGATTTTGACCTAATTTGGCTTCCGGCCCAAATAGTTATCTGGACTTTCTAAAAACGGGCCCCTGGTAGTAAAGAAGAAGTCTGCCCTTGTACATTTGTTGATCTCGTACAAAAATGGCTTTAGAGGTGACAAGTACTCAGTGAATAAAGGGCTTCAATAATATTTCTCTTTGCTGACTTGGGATTTGGACACCCATTGGAAAAGGTGTCTGTGCCAGCATCTAATGAGAAACTGAAGGTAAAATTAACATATATTTATAGCAGTTGCAGTGACATTTTTGTTGCTTAGATATAAACAGTTTTAACATTTATCCTCTAAAAACTGAAGCAAGCCATCGTAAATGGATATGTCACTGCCTGGGTCAATTTTATTTCCTCAAAGGATTAGCAGATCCTTCCACAGCAATATTATGGTCCCTCGTTCCTTTTATTTCTACTTTTTTATTACTATTATGATCCCTTTGTTTGCAACTTGACATGTGGTTCTCCCTAACTGAGGTTGGGCGGCTTGTGAGGATTCCTTTCATTTACTCCCATTTCATGCCCTTAACTATCTGACAAAGAAATCTTGCTTATGTAGAGTGGCAAAGTTTCAATAAATTAAAACCAATACCGACCGCTGGGCAGTCGGTATGAAACTGACTGAAACGTCTGTGAAGTTGGAAACATTTAAGGCCTTGTACTGTACAGGTGTAGTTTTAGATGCATTTGTGAGGAAAGTTTTCTTTGAGTGCCGATTATGATAAATAATCGATAATTGCACTCTTTTGCATTGAAAACTGTCTCATCTTCGTACCTAAAATAGGCAGTTTTTGTCGGGTGATATTTGATGTACGTCCAGCCAAACCTAAAACAGTGCAGGCATGGATAAGGGTTGTTGTACAAGGTGGTGACCTTTAAAAATTGTTCATTTCCCAGCTTAAAACAAGACGAAGAAAAGTATAAAGACATCAGGTTGGTGTGTTGTCTTAGTTGTTAAATTGTTATCAATGTCTTGCCGACTACTACTTTTTGGCCATAGCAGCTTTGCTACTTAGTACAACTGGCATTGACAGCATTTTCTTTTTTTTTATTTACAGTAGAAGAGACGAAGATTCAGATGTGGCAAGGTTTGTTTGCAATGCTTCTTCCTTCCTTTTAAGACTGAAATGTTGTTTTTTTTGAGACGTTTCTCTTATATTTTTTATGAATGAAAAGATCATTGAAAGGAGATAATCCAGAAATGTTTGAAGCCTGCCCAATATATTTGAAGGGCAAAACAGGCAATTGTTCCCTTAAAGCTGTACTAAAATCCCTGCAGCCGTGGAGCACAGACCGAAACGATTCAGCCAACCAACCAATGCGATTTAGCTTTTCCTAAAATCCAGGTTAAACTAATAAATGCTTTGCTGCTTATCCTAAAAAGGTCTTTTGTGTGCACCTATTGAGAATAGTGGTTATGTATTTATAGGTCCCTGATAGTTTCCTGTACGTTTGTAGCAAACAAAGTAAAGTTTAGCCTGTATTTCCCAAATTTTCAATTTTAAGAGATAAATATAGGATTTTAGGCTCGACTGGTTGATATGAAGGTTCTCACATGCGGGGTGTCATTGTACTTCTGCTAAAAGATTATTTGAAACTTGGACTTACTGGAGCCCTTTTAACGTTCTTGTTATTCAGGTGCCGGAAAGTATTGTTTAATGACAGAGAAAGGTCAGTAACTTGTCAACGATATTCTTTTCGACTAATTCAATTAAATGAGCTGGGATTATTACATTTTCTCCAGGTACCATGCCAGATGTACTGGATTCATGTTGTTCTTGGCTTTCTTTACAAGTTTATGGCAAATGTACGCTGTACATTCTTCTGTTTTCATTTTCGTAAAGGGATATCCAGAATGCGACCCCTCATTTCCTTTTTTAAATGAGAAATTCTTGAACCAACATGCAGCCACCAACAATCCATTCAACAAAGAAAACGGGAAGACAAACATCAACATTTTTTCATTTTGTTCACAACACTCGGTTTTTAATAGGTTCTTTTTTGTAGCCGATATTTGGAAAACCAACCTAATGAAATTTACAGTTATTTGAGTGAAAAGGAGTGAAAAGGCAGGTTTTTTGGGTCCGATAAGCTCCGAAATCACAAGCTAACGAAGGAGAAAGAAAGGAGACAAAAGAAGAGCAAGGGGGAATAAAGGAGGGAAAGAGAAAAAAGCAATGGTTGTACTCTTAGTTTTTTACGATGGCTACTTTGCAGGAGAAAAAAAAACTGTTGGACGCAAAAGATTCATTTGCTGGTAACGTTTTCAAAAAGTGGGCTATATTTATGATATATAGAATGGGGACTGGATCCTAGTCACTGCTCTTGTAAAACAAGTGTTTCGTGAGTGGTACGCAACAATTTAAAATATATATATTAACTTTGTACATTTACAGTGACGAAGAGTACTTGAATGATGACCAACGTACTCCATTCTTCCATCTTGGAAAAAGGGATGAGAAGAAACGCGCTCCAAAATTGGACGCAGAAACCTTGAGAAGTCCACCAGTTTAAAAGGCGTCCAGTGCAAAACCCAGAAGATGCCAAAGAAATGCTGCCTTTATCGTCAACGTTAACTTTTTAGATGATCCAGATGACTGGTTGAGTGACGACTTGGGGTCCTCCAGACACAACGGACACAAACGTTGGTACTTTGTTGCGGAAGAAGACGGTTTCAAGGAAGTAGAAGTAGGTTTCACCAAGGAAGAAGGTGTTCACGTATTGGAGAAGGCATATTGGATGCATTCCGAACACCAAGATTTTCGAAGACGCCTATGGAGACTTTTTGACCGGAAGGGCAAGGCTATAAAGTACGTAATGCTGGAATATTCCTTCAAAGGTGAAGAACGTGCCATTGCTTCTTTGCCGCATCGCAGCTCCAAAAATGACAAGCCATTTCTTCGCACTGAAAAAAGCACCAAAGATAGGGTGAAATCCTTGGTTAAAGATGGAAAAAGACCGTCAGAGATCTATGATACAGTTCTGGAAGAAAAAGGTGGCTTGATGAAAGCAGAATCTCTGTCCTCGCTTCCTCTCCACTCTCAGGCCGCTAATTTTAAAAGCGCACAGAAAGAAGATTCTCAGAAGGATGAGCTTTGGGCGATTGCAAATTTGGCCAAAAAGGAAGTGAGCAATGGCACTCCTTTTGTAAGGTACATAGACTGTTGTACCGGCAATGTGTTTCTCGCAGATGATAGACAACTAGACGACCTGCAACGTTTCTGTACAAATCCACAGCATTTTGGAGTACTCGGCGTGGACACTGTTTTCAACTGTGGCAATTTTTATGCAACACCGACGACATATCCCCATCTTCTACTGATTGATAAGACCACTTTGAAATCTCCGACAATGTTAGGCCTAGTTACTGTTCACAAACGGTTAAACACTGAGTGTTACGATTACCTAGCAGCGTCGCTGACCAGGGCTAAGCCAGCATTGAGGAATGTCCTGGCCGTTGGAAGCAATGGTGACAGCAAGATTTTCAACGGTATGAAGCAGCAATTTCCCGCTTCTACGTGGGTGCTCTGTCAGAAGCATGTAGAGGACAACCTAAGACGCTATTTGACCAGCATTGGTATTACTGGCAATGATCAGCAATTATTCATTGGTGACATTTTTGGCGATATACAACAGCGAAAAAGTGGCTTATCAGATAGTGTTGCAGGAATGCAATTTGGCAAGCGACTTAAAGCTGCCAAAGATCGCTGGGATCAAAAGGAACGCAGCATACGCAATGTTAAAGAAGCCCAGTTTTACTCCTGGTTTGTGCGATACAAGGCTGATAAGATCAAGGAGAAACTCCTTTATCCTGTTCGAAGGGATGTTGGTCTTGGCTACGACTTCAATTACAACAATGCAAATGAGTCGATCAATAACTCGGTGAAATGAAAAAAGGACTACGAACGTTGTAAAGAAATCGTGGAATTCACCGAAAAAGTGAGAGAAATCAAAGACATTCAACAAAGAAATGTTGAAGGTGCTGTGATAGGGGAGGGACCTTATCATTTGCGCAATAATTACGCAAAGGAGCTGGAGGTTGATCCTGATGTCTGGTTCCATCAGATGACACCACTACAACGTCAGCAAAACCTCGATAAGCTTATGTCCACAGAAGTTAAGCTACCAGAGTCACAACTTCAAGATGATGCAGGTGCAGGCCCTAAACCAACTGAAAGCCGCCCTAAATCAACTGATGCCATTCTCCACCTATCAATGTGATTCGAAGAGTCTCGCTTATCAAGACTTGTGTATGCAGGATTATGGCAAAAAGCAAATGAATTGGTTGCCAAAGAAAATGCAATGTACCCGGTCCCTGGGACACAAAACAACCAAGCGTTTTTCGTGGAAAGTGCAAGTGGAGGGCCATCAAAACCAAACCACGATGTTATCAAACCAAACAGTGGTGTCGTATGCGATTGTGATAAGTTTAAAGAAACTCGTTTATGTAGCCATTCAATCGCTGTTTCAGAAAGAACTGGAACACTTGAATCACATATTCTGTGGTTCAAGAAAACTGAATTTCAACCAAATCTTTCCTCACTGGCTGTGCGGGGAGGTCCATCAGTTTAAGGGCAAAAGCCTGGGTCCAAAAGGCCAAGAAACCGCAGCAGAAGTCCTCCATCCAGAAATGATGTTCTCGGTGCCAGTAACAATTCAGGAGCCCCCAATGAGAAAATATCGCAGAATGATAATCCCTTCCAGTTGATGTTCCTCACAACAAATAAAAAAAAATGCGTCACCTGCAAAACACATTTAACAAAGGAGGCAATGCACCGTACAACCTGTGTCTGTCACGTAAAGAGAGGTTCTATTATCCTTTTCAAGGGGACTTTCAAGACATCAGGGAAAGCGCAAGTGAAAAAAACTTTTACTACCATCTTGACTTAAGTTGTGTGCAAAGGGGCCATCCAAGTTTCAAACCTGGGGACATAGCCATCCAAGAATCTGTAAAGGCAAACCTCAAGGATAGCCACAAACGTCTGTTAAGAGGCACAATGGATATACAAGTATAATAATTATACTTGTATACCCATTGTGTCTCTCTTATTAGTAAAGAGGGTAGTAATATTGTTGAGCCTACTTCCGTGTGCATTTTGCTTTTGACATAAGGAGTTACCTTATATCAACATCGTCACTCTCGTACTTTAAACAAGTGTCATAAGTATTGTAACTTAAGAATAGAGGATCTGTTTCAGCCCCAAAGTGCTAATTTAGACTGGCACGTCATAGTCTGATTTAGCTTCCCGTGCAACCATTTGAACACAGTTTAAGTCAGTACAGCCCTCTTCCAGCCCACGCTGGGACTCATTTCCATCCCGGCCGTGGGACCAAATCATCCCCAGGTAATTGAACAAATAGAGGCAGACTAGACCCCTTGAAAATGGTACTCGTTCAACTCACCAAAACGTTTCATTTTTAAGGCTGAATCACATCATTTTGATTCACAGTGATAGATTACCTAGTAAGAGTAATGTAGATACGTTCAAGTTGTAAGGAGGGATTAGTCAATGATTCAAGGAATATGACAAAGACGAGGGAGACGAACATGAACATTTTCATAGTGTAAAAAAAGTACCCTTACTTTGTGCATGCAAATCGATAACCATTATATCTTGTGATCCTTGATGATACGGTCTTTAGTTAACGGTTGAGATTTTTGTATCGTTTGGTTTTTGTTCACGTTGTTGTTAAATATCTGATCAACAGGCTGATGCCTTTCTTATTTTTTAAATTGTTGTTGATATCGTGTTTCAAATAACACACTTACACCTACAAGAGTGTGTTTTATCTTTGATTGAAACTGTCGCCAGATAGTGATAGAAGCTATTTTTACTGCTTATATTGCAACTTTTAAAGTCACATGATCAACCACCCCGATAATTATGCAAAATTTTACATCAACAAACCTAGTTCTCAATTTTCCTTTTAAATTTATTTAGGTTTATTAATGCTAAACATGTTAGATTCATTGGGAAATTTTAAAACATATTATTGCTTGGTAATGTTTAATACTCGCGCCAGACTCTCTCTCTAACATGAAAACTGAACAGTTCACAGAAAACAATTACTTTCGAACAGCACCAATCAGTTCCAAAAACCTTGTACTACAGTCATAAATACAAAAAAACTGAAATTACACTAAAGTACGTGTTGTAGATTTGGATCAAAATGGATAGCAAAAATAGGGACACGATAGGTCACATGATCGAAAAAAACCATTATTTAAAGTGAAACTGATATCTTTTTGTAGAAAAGGTCAAGCCTACAAAAATTTAAGTGAAAGGTTTCATCGTCTTTGAACCCGACCAACCCCAACAAATTAACCCATTCTTTAATTAACTCATGTAGTACTATACTACACACTGTTTCTTATACGAGATGAAAAAAGAGAAGTAGACATGACACTGTCTTCATTGGTTCTTGCTATTGTTCATTTGAAAGCTAGCAGGAAAAGGCACTTGTCTAAAAGCAATTTATGGTACCAGTTATTAAATGAAGCTATACTGGCATCCTTTTTAATAAACATCGGTGTCACTGATTTGGCGGGAGGTTGCCATACAATGGCAGAGGAGGAGGAGTGTGATAACATTCCTTGGCTCACTTAAAAGCAGAGCTGGTGTAACTAAACCGAGTCGAAAGTTTTCCACAATTCAATCACCCTTTAACAACTTTTACTACGGCATAGATTTTCTCATTTATTCATCATGGCCGGTGGTCGGCCGGTGCACATGATAAGGAGAAGCGGGAAACGAGTGAAAATATTTACTACAATAAATGTTCAACAAGAAAATTAGGTACAAGTAAAAAAAGTACTCAGTCTGCACGGTCTGCACAGTCTGCAGTCTGCAGTCTACATGGTCTGCGTTTCAACATGACCGCCAGCAGAGCACCGTAAGCCTGCTCATGACTTTTGGTCGAGCCCAGGAATCTCCAGAGTGACAGGTAACAAGAAGGATATGTTTCGAAAACGCCCCACTATTAGAACATATGTTAACCACCTGACGCAAATATTCGAGAAAACAAAAACCGAAGTGTATTTAGAATTCAAAATGAAGTATTGAGAGGTTAAATGCGACAGAGAGCTTTAAGAGATGTAAGCCGTTCTTTGTCATTGCCCCAAGGAGCCAAGACAAAGTTACTTGTTGCTGTCGACTCCACGTCAAAACCGCATGTTGTTTCAGACGTGCATGGAATTCTGAAAGCAAGTCTTGGCTACAAAAGGAGAAAGCGTTTATCTTTTCTGTTTTAGGACATTTAGATGACTCTATCAAACAAACACTATGTGCTAAGCCAGAAGGGCAGGATTACCATTTATTCAATTGTTCGAATAGATAGTGTGAAGAGTGTGGAGTCACTAAATTTAATCTGATGAAAGAAGAAGAGGATGTAGGCCCTGAAGCTCCCACAGTAAACTTGTAAAAGTTTGAGTATGTTAATGTTGGCCAAACACAAGGCAGGAGAGAAAAGAGAAACCTCCAACTAGTCAGAAAAGAAACTCCTCCTGGTGCCATGTATAACACCTGTAAAATGCTCCTCAATGAGTTTTTATCCCACCAGTTTCGAGCAACCTGGTAAAGCAAAGAAATGGAAGAGTGCGTGGAACATCTTCCTAAGAATCACGTATGCTGCATTTATGACTATTCAGAGAACTAGAGCTACACAAGTCAAGATCAGGTACAATCTCAGTACTACTCACAGATGCAGGCCTCCATACGTGTTACCATCTTACACTGGGATGCCCTTGAAACTGTAGATGGAGTTGAGAGCACCGTGGACAATCCATCAATCATAACCGAGCAAATCTTTGTCATTTCGCCCGATACCAAGCATAACCACCACCCTCTCCATCAAGTTAGGGAACTGGTCGCTGGGTACTTATAGTAAATCGACTCTTTTGAAGTCGTGCATGAATGGACTGATAGCTGCTCTGCACAGTATAAATGTAGACACTGTATGGGAGATGTTTCTTTCTCAGTCTCTGGTTTCAAAACTATTTGAAACTACTTTGAAACATCGCATGCCAAAGGTTCCCGAGATGATGTCAGAGCAAATTTAAAGCATAAAGCGGATTTGGCAGTTATAAAGAGGCAGGAGGTCATTCAGAAGGTGAAAGATCTTTTCAAGTTTGCTGAAAAAATCTGAAAACCCCAGCCCCTTCTCGTTATCAGTCAAAAAGTGTACATCTAAAGAGAATAATTTTTTCTATGTAGAGCAAGTAAACAGAGATCGTTGCAGAAGGTACTTCAAAGAAGTAAAAGGGAATCGCGCAATACACAGTGTGCCATCTGGAACTACTTCATGCTGTATCCAAACACGACAAGTGTCTTGGTATTGTGAAAACTGTATTGAAGAGGAGTACGAGGCCAGTAAGAACTCTGATTACGTTTCTGCTTGGCAGATGGTGCAACTGGAATCAGAAATCCTACAACAAGCCAGAGTGACTAGATCAGAAGCAGTTGGAAATCTTAGCTCTATTAAGGACCTCCTGACAAAAGACGCTGTTGTGGCCATTGCCTCCGGAGATCCCGGGGAGGATTATTATCTTCTAAAAATCACTGGAAATGGCCAGAAATACGAGTTAAAGATGATTAGGGCATGCAATTTGCAGGAGGCGCTGAAATAGTGAGAGGTCACTTCTTTGTAAGACGGGGAGATGAATCATCCTCTTTGCAATTCCTATCATTTGGAAAAAGGAAAGCCTGCAATTGTATACGCCGCTCTCTCTCTCTCTCTCTTTTGTATGTAGAAGCTTGATAAAAGACTGAAAGCCGTCACTGAGGAGGAAAGGGATGGTGACCTGTTTTCAGCCCTTCATGTAAGCCTTGTGTCTTCAGATGAGTCTGACACGGAAGATAATTCCTTGAGAACCAGGCCTCTGTCTTGGAGAACAGAGAATGTGAACAACTTTTTTAAACTTTTGGATGGAAGAGCGAAGGCAGCAATGACCTCCCAACAAAGGAGACAATCAGTTAGTCGAAGACAAGGTGTTGCCAGTGAAAGAGGGACAGACACTGTCCCAGAACATTTGAAATGGGCTGTGTGCAATTCCCCATAAGTCAGTAAATAAGTAAATAGGGAGCGTTTCTTAAAAAGTTGGTGCAGCCTTTAAAGGTTAAGTTGAAGTAACTATATCAAGTAGACTGAAGAGTAAAATGTAACAGCTCAGTCTTATTGATGTAGGCATAATTTATTTCAAAAAGAAATATGATTTTTAATTATTGTTATATTACTCAATCTGCAATCTTTGATTTCCTTAAGCAAATTTGTTTCCAAAAAATGAATTGTGAACAGCTTCTATTCTTTAAATGTAAATAATAATTTTTTGCATCTTAGGAATTAACGGCATAATGTTTGTTACCCAGTATTCAGTTTGGTGTCAAAATTGATGTGCATCAGAACCATCAGTTCAAATCACAAACATCTTGTTTCTGTATAGTTACATTTACACATAGCTTTAAAAGGTTCTTTAATACACTTTATTGTCACTTAATTATAAGGTATTAATGAAAGAACTAGATTTTGTTGGACTTTAGAATGTTTTTTTTTGTTTTTGCACCTCGCATAGAGTT